CCAGGAACAAGGTCACGGGCACGTGCAAACATGCGGCGGGAAATGGTGTCGGCGACGATGTTATCGTTACCGGCGATGTGGGTTACGCGAAGTTGGTGAGATGAGGATATGAGAACATCGACAGCGAACTTTAAGATGGGGTTGAAGTCGGGGAGGGCATGGAGGGAGTTGAATATAGCGACGGTGTTGGAGCTGTCGGTGTGAATGACCAGGCGCATGGGATTGTCTGGCCATCGAGAAGCTTCGTGGAGAGCACAAGCAACACAAAATGCTTCGAAAAAGAAAATGATGTCGGTAGGAGGGTTAGGAGGAACCGGCGAATAAAACGCCATGTTCAGGGATGGGAACCAGAACCCGAATCCATCGAGGCATGCGTCGCAGTAAACGATCAGGTGGGCGGACTCGATTGGCCAGTCGAGCGCACGAATGATGTGGACGCCTGTGGATTGGGAGATGTGGTGTGCCGCCCAGTCGAGGTCAGCCCGGATGGGGGCGTTGACGTAAAGGAGCTGGTGCTGAGCAGTTTTGTCGTTGATTTTTGCGTAGACATTGGATAAACATGGACGCAATAAGGGATAGACATTGAAGCTCCAGTTGAGCCAACCGGTCAAGCGTTGCCAGACTTTGAGTGAGAAGCGCGGGCTACGATGATCGCGGTATGTGGTGAAACGCTGAAGCTGCTGAAGAAGGTCGAGCTTTGCTGATTCGGGGAGAGTAAGGGTGAAGTCGTCAAGGTCGACGGAGATGCCAATGATAGTTAAAGGGTTCCCGAAGATTTGCTTGCGCTCCTTGTGTGGGATTCCCAACTCGTCCCAGAGGAGGAGAAGACGGCATTGATCCTCCGGCATGATTTTGTTGTAAGGAGGGTAGAAAGTGAGGTCCCCTCGTTCGCATGGGGCGAAGTTATCGTCAGAGTACGCAAGTAATAGAGGGATGTTGCGGACGTAGCGTGCAATCCATACTACGAGGCTCATGAACGAAATCCAAATCGACCCTGACCCCCTGCCGCCAAATGCATTACATCTATCGATATACCGCCGCCCGTCGACTGTGTTGACCTGCTTTATTTGCCAATAGGGGTGCATGGGCATCAGCCGATACGCCTCCGCGACATCCGACTTGAAAAGTGCGAGGGGGGTGTCTGGCAGTTCGTCATGGAGGTAAAGTAACATGTCACCGAGCTGTCGCATGTTATCGAGGGGGTAACCGCGGATACTGTCTCGGGGAATCATTGAATTGAGGGAGAAAGGTCCAGCGGACTGATTGGTGACCATGCGAAGTTCGTCGGAGTCCTGTTTGGGTACGCCGTGAATTGGCATGCTATACATCCCTGCAAGAAGGTCTCTCCCAAAAGAAAGAGAGAAACGACCCTTTGCGACCTCGGTGTCGCGCTGCTCACGAAGGAACTCTGCCTCGGCAGGGTCTTTTGGTGTTGGGAAGGATTCATCGACCGTATCCGGATATTCCCCGATGTGGGTATCGGCCCATGGCCAAAAGCCCTCACGGAGACCGCGGCATACGGAGGCGACGAATGGTTGATTAGGATGGGTAGCGAGCAGGCGTTCAAAAACGTCTATTTTGATCGGGGTGACAATACGGAAGAGCGAGGGGTTGCTATTAATGGTGTTGGTAACGACTGTGTTGGCTAGTTCTGCTGCAGGAGGTGGAGGAAGTGGAACGGCGGTCTCGGACCATTCTGCGGTGGATAATGAAAGTGTATTATCGTCGTTCCATAAGTTATAGCGCAAGTACTTAGGCCTTGCTCCCTGAACCGCGTCCGTCCTGGACACAGTCTCGTTCGCCGTGCCCCGATACACCACACCTCTTGCAGTTGTGGAGCCAGCGGCAGGTACTGGCGGTGTTAGGACAGGTGCGTGTGCTGCTGTTGAAACGATCACAGAGTTCGGATCGGCTTCCCTTCTTTCCAGTGGCCGATCGACCACGCGATCCGGAACCCGAACCGCCGGAAGTTGATTTGCTGCCGCGATCTGCCTCGATACCGTCAGGCGCGATGATTGCTGAATGGAATCGCGTGAATTCATTCCAATCTGTGAGGAGATATCGTTGCCCGCCGGCGACGAAGTTCCGAATTGCGACGTCAAGCATGATGACCCGAGGATGGGACGTGGGTTGTTTGGCTGAGAACTGGGAACGAATGTACGAACTATATTCTTTGAACTCTTGCCGGCGGTGAGGGAAAGCGACTGATGTGGCTTCAATGACCTCGTCGAAAGCTGTGGCCCAATCTCCGGCGGTCTTGACTTTCTTGGCGGGCTCGGGATTGTTGAATCTGATTTCAGTAGGTCCCACGTGTCCAACGTCCTCTTTAGGAGGGAGGACATGATACAATGATGAGAAGACTGCATCGAGGTTGACGGCAGTTCCCCTGATGATGGCATCCCACTCGCTTCCGGGGATACTTGGTGGAGCAACTCCGGAGATGACGAGCTGACGTCTGATCCATGCGGGATCGCGTTGGTAGATGTGGAGGAGATCCTGGGTCTTTTGGCAGGAGGGGCGTGCAGTGTCTCGTGCAACTTTCTCTTCGACGTACCAGGGCAATTCGGAGAGTTTGATTTTCTTTTTACCGCTGGTTCCCTCGATGTCATCCGCTCCTCCAGCGTTGGAATCTTCATCCCCCTGATCGTTAGGTCGTGTGCGCTTCGGCTGAGATCCGATCTCATCAATGAGGTCGTTGAAGGGCTGATCTGTGGCTTGATCGGGAGTTTCTCCATCGGGGAAGTTAGGTTGGGATCCATTTTGGTTTGCAAGTCCCGCAGCTGCTTTCTTTCCACGGCGACGAGCGGCACTGGCGAGTGAATCAACGGACTCGACGGTCGAGACGAACTCTGCGAAAGCATATCTCCCTCCAGTGGTGTTATCCTCGCATTGAAGGATTTTTTGGACTTCATATAATGCATCTGCCTTCGTAATTTCTCCTTCCCTGTACTTCGTGACCAATTCTTCCTGTTTCCGAGCAATCTCTGTGTCAAATGAGGTTGGGAGTTGGGGTGTGACCGTTGCCGATTGGTCCCGATTTGACCCGGAGATTCCAAACGATCCAGAAGACTGAGTCGTGGACCCTGGCTCCCCTGATCCTGATCCTGATCCGACGTTGGATCGAACGAACTGGATATTCCGTCCATTTCCGCGCTCGGCTCCTGATGAGGGGATACTGGTGGAGAACTGTTCGACATCCTCGGCCATAGAAGACAAGTCTCAGATCTCTTTGAGGGATACCGATGGAATTTATTAAGACAGAAAAGTTCTATGCTCAGGATACTATCAAGGGATGAGAATTTAGGAAAGAATCCCCCTCTGAGAGTGCATTGTGAGCAACATACCTAGAAGAGGGATGAGAATTAGGAAGAGAATCCCTGGGGATGACTCGTTCCTTCGTCATCCTCTTCTATGGTCTGAGTCTCAGATAGTACCGCCGGACCGACCCACGTGTAGAACCACGATGCCTGAAAGGGGAGCGCGCGGCGCGACTTGTATGCCAATGTTATGCTGTGCCGGGGCACAGAGCACGTCGGATGACCAGACCTGGGCGAATTCACAGGACTTGAGTAAACATAGTCTAAACCCGATCAAAGACATGACGGTTTCTGAGAGTTGACGGGTATTTCACACGGTTCCTCGTCCCATCCCACCATCATCGACCGACTGGGTACCCTCTGTCTATGGCCACAGGAAATGACTCTCATCCTACGTTGACAATTGACTTGGTGCGTAAGCGCGGACATCATGGCGAATCTATCTAATGATACTATACAGGTCCTGGACCGCCTAACGACGAAGGATGTCCTCAAGGGAGTCCTGCATTCAATCCTCTTCCACCGTTTGTTCGGAACTGTAAAGCCACAGACATTCGAGGTGCTAGATGTCACTATGGTCTGTTTTATCTTTGTATTGCCCTAGATATTGTGACTGAGAGATGGTGTAGCCAGGTGTCTCTGATGCGCGCATGGAGCAACTCGTAAACGACAAGGTCGATGGCTTTTGGAAAGGGATCGAAGGTGGTGCTAATAAGCGTGGCCAGGTGCGTTCCTATCACCTACCCAACTTCGATAACCCAACTCATCCTGACGTAGATAACGGTCACCTTTTCCGAGAAGCGCCCAAAGAAATCGTGGTTCCAGGTGTATATGGGAGAAGAGGATGTACCATGGGAACAATGGTTTGTACCCCACCATTCGCGGCTGTACACTACGCTCTAATCACCTGTCCGACGTCTAGGGTGATCAATGCCGAACTGCGACAGCCAAAGGCGGATATAGGTCAGTGGCGTGGAGAAGTGTTGTCTTAACTCGATTCTTATCCAATGCCATAGATCGTCAATCTTTCAACGCAAAACTCGCGGATACACTTACGGAAGCTATACATACCATGCTTACGCACACGTCATCCGAGCGCGGGCGCGCAGCCGTACCTCTCATTACGAACGCATCGGGCATCTCACCCTTTCCCATTGACATCGTCGTCACTATCGGCGGGGTCGAAGTGGTCTGAGTACCTCTGCATCCAGCCCTCTGGATGCTAAAACGCTCATTCTATGGAGGGTCATGCCAACGGAGTCATGTCATTCGTCGGTCAGTTGGGGACTGACCTATCGTGCCGGAGGTGTATATGCCCTTCAAGAAGCTCGACTGGCCTGTATGCTATGCTTATTGCATTGGTAGTAGTCAACACGGCTACGGACTGGTTCATACTCTGGCTACTACGTCAGCGGCCTCCATGCCCAGAGCTCCTGGCGCTGCGTACATACATACTGCCACCTACGCCCGTCAATAACGCAGACTCCTGCACTCGAGTATTTGTGCATAAATAATGTGATATACAGATACATATGCATGGGCTCCCTTCCCTAATGTGTCGATGTTGTCGCTAACTCGATGCTATCATCGATGTATGTGTAGATGTAATATGTATATGAGACTAGCGTCAAAAACGTAGAAAGCTCACTGACTCGGAAAAAGCTTTAATGGAGTCACTCCCCATGACCGAGACAGGGGTCGAACCTGCAATCTCCTGATATCAAGTTCTCTGCAACTCGTAGTCAGACGCGATGCCATTTCGCCACACGGCCATGTTCGACTTATGACCATGTAACAGCTCCCACCAACTTTAGGGTCCAGAAGTGATTACCATCGTGACTCCGACCATGGCCAAGCGGCAAGACTGTTGAGTGACAGCTCTTGCGATGATCTGAGAGCGTTCCCGGGTGCTATACTATGGTCGCCGAAGCCTTCCCCTTCCTCCGACATCTTACTTCGTGGCTTCCTCGGTCCTGGTGCTGGATATAAGCGCTTCGCTGAACTGCGATGAAGACTGCAAGGTTTATCGATGAGATGTTAACTTCCCGTTCAATCCTCTCAAGGAGAAAACGGTATCAAATGAGCTGCTTCCATTTCGCGCACTCTGGTGACATTCTCTCAGGGAATGCTGCCTAAGATCTTCTCGTGCCCTGAAGAAGGCATAGGAAGAGCTAGACCAGCGACGCGAGCCACTGGCAGCCACACGCGTCAGCACCACGTGAGCGGGAGTTGCAAGCCACGTGGCATCAGACCGGGGTTGTGGCACTGGCACTGCCATCGTTTGACGCGTGGCGGATGCAAGGTGGACGTTTCTTTCCTCTAAATATGTCTGTGGACTCAGACGATGTCTGTATAAACATTACCAACGATCCTGACCTCTACTTTCCTGACGGAAATCTTGTCATCTTGACCCGAGATGATGCTGGCAACCACACGTACTTTCGTGTCCACCAATCTATTCTCTCAAAACACTCGAAAGCACTGAGTGATCACATTTTCCCGGGCTCACCACCACCTGTACGTGACGTTTACGACGGCGTTCCCCTCGTCGAGTTTCAGGAAGATCCCAGAGACCTGAACATATTTTTAAAATTCCTCTACGAGCCGTTGTGAGTAACTCATTCGGGGAAACTACAGAACTAGCCTAGAACTGACCAGCTACGTTTTTAGTGCGGCCCCGATACAACGAGGAGATCCTGACATCGCTTTCAAGATGTACGGGGCCCTGAAACTTGCTGATAACTTTCTCATTGATCCTCTAAAAGACACCATTCTTTCGTACATCCGCGAAGACTGGCCCCAGACGCTTCATGCATGGGATGAGCGAGAAGCTCTTTACTCACGCCGCCTAAAAAACTCCCCAGGATCCACCATGGACGATGTGGCTCCGGAACCAGCATCCGTAATTCGCCTTGCTCGCAAGTTCGAGCCCGGAATATTAACGATCGCCTTCTATCATCTCGCACGCCTACCCGTCAACGCAACATATGGGCAACATAACCAGGCTCCGCGCCATGCTCGCGGGGTACGAGGATACCTCTTGTCCCCCGCGGACCGCGAAAAAGCTGCGCTGGGTCGTGAGCGGATGTCACGGTGGATTGTAGACCGGATGGAGACCTTGATGCTTGATACGTGGCAGTGCAAGGGGGATGAGGGTTGCCACATACACATGTATTGGCGGGTAGTGGTTTTGCACCGGTCCATTATGCGTAGTATGGACGTGCTGACCACTCTGCGGTCAATGCGAAGTCACAAAGTGGAGAGGGGGACAAGCGAGGTGGTCGAGGATGCCGTGTGCCAGGGCTGCAATGGGAGATGGGATCAAATACTCAACGATGCACGCAATGATTTCTTCGCCTCTTTGCCCTCATTCTTTCCTGACCTGTAATTCTGACAATAGATTCATCCCTCATCAACGTTGCGTGGTCTAAACACAATAGATTCATCCCTCATCAACGTTGCGTGGTCTAAACGCCATTTTCTCGCTGACAGCCCGAGATTTCTGCATCGGTTCAGAGTCATTACTTATTTTTAGATCGACTTCCCATCCTAAGCGTTGTAAAATTTGGAGGACCACCTTAGAGATGCCTGATGACCCTGACTGCGCGGTGGCTGCAGCTGCGGAATGCTGTGCTATTTTTCAACTCATGAGAAGGTCCATCAACCCATCCGAGTCACTGGCGCAGGCAAGTATTATTTTTGTTCACTAAGGAGAGTAGACGGCTGTCTTGGACTGAAGCATTGCTCAAAGGTCTACACGAGTATATCAGTAGTCTGCGGGATATACTTTCAACCTCCGTTTGGCCATCATAGAGCTTCATTCTGTCCTGGCAGGAGCCTAACGGTCCTAACCTCCTTCGCCGGCACCGGGCAGTGCGGTGAATTTCAATTGCGGAGAGACCGCCGTCGGAGATAAAGCCGTTCATCGATTCACCAAGACTGCGCACAGATTCTCCCGTCCAGGTGCGGAAAGCTGTGCCTGGATCTACATAACTTAAGTGGAGTCCTCGTCCTTCTAAGTCTGAGGTTGTCCCAGCCCCGTTCATTGCCATTCTGTAAATCCGCTCCACGCGAAACTGCCATGAGCACTCACGGTATCAACTATGCTGAAGCCTTTGGTATCGAGTCCGTTGCAGCCGCAGCTATATTTGCGGTCGCGTATTCTCCTCTTTTTGGCTGGTTTTTACGACAGTCATTTGGGCGACCTACGTATGTCTTCTTTGTCCTTACGGTATTTTGCGTCGGTGAGGACTTCGCATAGCATATCTTGATGTCGTCATTTCTGACCATAGGTTCCAGTGCGCATTACTGCGTTCATAATCCGTGCCATACTAGCGGCCTCCGATACCGCCGGGCGGAATTTGGGTCTTCTTCTTGCCGACGAGGTACTCTTTGGTGCCGGGTTCTTTGGCCTTTTATACTCTGCGTACACCTTGGTACTTGATAGGTGAGCATCTTTCCTGTCTCTTTTCTCTGTCATAGGAAATAATTAGAGTGCATAAGGCGGCTGCTCACTAATGCACCTCCCGATGCTGGGATAATTTCGCGTATCACCGAGGATCGGAGAATATTCAAAGGAGTGATGCTTGCTGCCGTTGTGCTCGGGGTTGTCGGCTCCACACAAGCACAGAGCAGTGATCCGCACAAAGGCAATAGCCTAAGGATAGCCAGCACTGTCATATTCCTCGTCCTTACCATCGTTGTAGGATATCTGACGGTACTCCTCGCTCGCATTGAGCTAGCCTGTAAGTCTTTGCCCATTAGCTCCGTCCGAAAGGCTCATCTATCGTTCTATTCAAAGTGTCGAGAAATGGCTATTCGACCGCGACCTCTAGAACCTTGGGACATCGGTATGGCGCGTACATTTTATGCGTCATCGCACTGCTCCTCCTCGTCCACGAAGTCTTCACCACCGCCACCGTTGGTAACTACGCAAAGCAATACAACGAGCACTTCTGGTACCCATTGTATGCCCTCCCCGAGATCGTCGCGGTGTTCCTCTACGCCACACCAGACCTCGTTCCTCCTCGTTCCGAGCTCCCTAGGTAGTCAGCTTTTGGTTCATCTACATGACGTCGCATGATGAGTACTTAACCCATGACCGCAAGCTGATGGGATCTACAGTCTATCATGTGTACTTGAGTTTATACCTAACGATAGTACGAACGTGTCTGCCTTCAGGAGGGTAGCCAAAGAGGAGTGTAGCCAGAGCGCAGCAACCAGAAAAAGGTCTACATGAATATTTCCCTTGATCTCTGAAGTTTGTTAAGTTTCTCCGCAGCGACTCTTCCAACCTCCGCACCGCGAAGAAAGATATGGCTTTGGTAGATTACAAACCGCACGCTTCCTCGGAATGACCACCTGCAGGCGTAGTGGCGTCCTTCATTGCTCCTACCTCACTCTTCGTTTGGTCCTACTGCGAATCAGCGAGAAACCCGTCCCGCGTCTTCAGAACTATGTCCCTTCTTCCATCACTGAGCCTCAGCATCTCCACCCGTATCCTCATACCCTCATTACAGCGGTATATCGCCAACCTTTTCTTCTATTCCTAAGTGAGTACGACGTGTGTCCATGGCGACACGGACCGTAGGCTGTTACTTCGCGCGGATGTTGCACTCAGGCTTCGACTGCAGGGTTGTCCCAACACCAACAGGGGCTGTAGCTATGGTGTTTTCCTTCCCGTTATGTGGGGCCTATGAGCGTGTCTTGAGAACACGGTGTATATTTTCATTTCGTCAGGATGGTACAGTCGGCTATGGAGTCTGGATATGAGGAGAATATAGAGCAACATTTCATTGACCGAGCTCACCTCTTGAATCATGCTCAGTCGTTGGTGCTTTATGGCAATCAATAGCTTCCAGTACGCTAGGGGCTGCGGGGATAACACAAGGTGTAGCGATCGCCAAAAAAGCTACAGCAGTGATACGTTCATTGCAACGATACTTCTGGCCAGCTCCTGGCCTGTCAGAGGAGCTACTCCGATGAAGATGCAGATAAGCGCTCTTCCATTCGGACGCTTCGTCGAAGTTTCATACCTCCCGCTGCTATAGAGGGTGCCACCCTTCCTGCAACCATTTCGGGGGAGTCCGCCCTATTGACGGCACGACAGCCAATCATCCCTGTGTTACTGCGCCATTCAAGAGGTCGCCAAACGTTCGAATTGTGGTGGTGTGAGGAGAAGGGGAGAGGGTCCATGTTTACGTCCTCAGATGACATAGCACCTACAACTTGTGAGCGCAGATGAAGGAAGTAGTTTACCTTCATGAACTGGAACCATGACGTTCATTTCCATTGTCGGTAAGCGACAATGACACCAAGATAACAATTGATTGATCGAACCAGACAGTTGCCACGCAAATGTTCTCATGCCACGGGTACCTGACAACCATTATGTTCATGCCCTCCGCTCCGGGCGTTGATTAAACTTCTTCACCGTTGTTTATTATCCCCTCAACGCTCTTTTCACGCCTCATCCTTCACGAACTCCCCCCACGCCTTGTCCTCTCCCTGTCTCTCGGGGCTTCCTCGCGAAGAGCTTCCACTTTCCTTAAACCCACTATCGTTTATCTGAACGCGCTAAAATGCAGTTTGCATTGTTCACTGTAACTCTATGTATTGCTCTCGTGAATGCCCACTTGGCGGCATGGCACAAGGGCATGTACTGTCTCGACGTACGCTGAAACTATCCTTGCATCTCATGGTCCATATTGATTGTTCTATTTTAGGGCACTAGTGGAAAAGTTGATTTGAATGCATATGAGGCGACCACACCTTTGTACAACCTCCCCAAGAGCCAATGGTGGTGTAAGTTTTACCATTTTGCATCTCTAGTCTTCGAGCTGACCGTCGTTAAAGTCCATCATGTGAACGGTGTAAGGACATCGGCGTATCAGTAACTCCGAGCCAGACTCATTTGTCAATCTCTAGTGTGACAATTTCCCCCCGAAGGACGGCGATTTCCTCGAGCTGTAAGTCCCAGCTAGAACTAAGAAAGAAACAAGGCTCGCTCTAACCTTATCATCAGACCGGCGGGTAAGGATTTCACGGTTGAGATCTCCGCGAACCGTGCCACAACCTCCCTGTCATACAATGGAAAATATGCCAGCGACTGGGTCGATGGTGAAAGCCACCTGGACAACTTCGTGTGTTTATTACTATTTCTACCCACATGTTGTCTGATCTCGCTTCGGTATTTAGGCCAAGAGCTCTGGCTGTATCACCCAACCGAACAGTGAGCGCTCCAGCAACCTGCCGGTTCAATACCGAGTTAATCGCTTATCCTTTGCTCATAGTTCACACCACCAACGAGAGCATGGCGGCTGGTACGGCTTTTGCTATTTCATACCAGGTGAATTTCGGCGCTTTATCCTTGTCGGTGCATCGGACTCACAGCTTGACAGTCGGACATCAACAAGGTGACAGAAGAGAACCTTGTCGTGTTCAGCGTTCGATACCAGTATGTGCATCTACTATATCTTGACTTGATTCTGATTCCCTCTAAAGCACTCCCTGGAAGCGCCTGACCTCGTACTCCGTTCCTGCTGCTCTTCCCGCGTGCCCTCCTGGTGGTTGTATTTGTGCCGTGAGTGGATGATTTCTACAAAAGATAAAGCGCACGACAACTGATTTCTATCTTTTGATAGTGGGGCTGGGTATGCAGATTCTGTCCTTCGCCATTGATCGATCACTAACCAGACACTGTCCTTCCCTCGTCAGGTTCCCAATGGGTGCGCTTCTTTATCACGACTCCCAACTTCCTACTAACATTCAGATTTAACTCAGCTGCGGCGAGCCCAACATGTATCACCAAGCCTTCAAGTGCAAAGTCACCGGCGCCACCTCTCAAGCACCCGTCGCCGTCGGTAAGCCGGCCGTATGGTGTGAGGGCGAGCCTTCCAAGTGCACCAAGGGCGCGAAGCAGATGATCTATTGGAACCAGGCTGAAGGCAACAACATCAAGGTTTCCGGTAACGACCGCGCCGGTATGCCCAAGTCCCCTGCGTACAATGACAAGCTGGGATTCCCCGATGGTTCGTGCTTGCTCTCGCATTCGCTGTTATTGTTCTTCGGTATATTGACTTGGGCTGCGTCTAGGTGCTCAGAACGACATTTTCGCAGCGCCCTCTGGCGGATCTGGTTCGGATTCAGGCTCAGGCTCCGACTCCGGCTCTCCCAGCGCTCCTGAGCCCACTGTTCCATCGAAACCCCCTACAGGCCCGAGCGACGTACCCACACCGCCCTTATCCTCGCCCTCGGCTCCCGCGTCTTCAGAGCCCGCTACCGGCGGAGGCTCATCCACGTGTCCCCCGAAGCGTCCCAAGACGAAGGGCTCTACCCTGTCCAGGAAGAAGCGCGCTGCAGCAGCCCAGCACCGTCGCCGCCGCATCCAGACCTGGTAAATCCATTGGCCCGCATCCCCATCGTGCCATTCGTCTGTATATACCCACCCCGTTTCTGGCCGGCCAGAAGCAAGCCCTCTGTTCACCACACGTCGCAGAGTCCCGTTAACGACCTTGATGACCTTTATCGACCTCGACGTAGAGCTTGGCCTCTTTTGTATCTCACGCACATCTAGCTATGTGCCCACATCTGTGCTTGACGTCACGTATACCAACATCGATACTGCTATCTCTTCCGCTTTTCTTCTGTACCTGTATTATGCTCCTGTCGCATTGCTGTGTGTTGTTTTTTTTACGTTTTCGAATACCATTGACTGGTTCCGCAATTCGGAGTTGCTGAGGATGGGTAAGAGCCATACCTATTAGTATTCGTATGAGGCCTGGAGTCGTCGAATTGTAAGGAGTCCACTAGGCTTGGGGTCTACGTATTTAGTGATGACCTTCTGCGCTCGGGTATGGTGTAACGGCTAACATTGCCGCCTCTCAAGTACCGTGCACGCGGCAGCTCGGGGTTCGATTCCCCGTACCCGAAATCATTTGGACGCGAGTTCCTACTTTTTCTTTTTGCTGTCTCCCCTTCAATATCCAAATTGCACCTCAACTCATGTCGTGGTGCCATATATAGAGTATCTTCCATGGCACCCCATCACGCACGTCCATACATAAGACAGGAATAGGGTGTTCAAGTTCAGACTCCTTCTCGCAACATGTCAGGAGCGATTTGGAGCGATCAGAACCGATCGACCACGAGATGGACGGCTCAGATGGAAGATACAGCAGCGCTGAGGTCTATATGGGCGCGCTCATGCAGAGGGTTGCCTGTCCTGCCTCTGGTATCCACTGGCAGCATGCATGATAACCTGGAAAGTATAATCCTACGGCCTAATCATCCGATCGATGGAGCATTCTGACTTGGTTGAAGTCAAGTTCATCATTGAGGGCGACAGCGAGCAAAATTTTGACGGCCTAATGTGCGTTCCCTCCTGCCGCACCCTCTGACCCCTGTTCTGAACCTGTTTGTGAAGTAGCGATCTATCTTCTCGTATAAGGGCTATCCGCAAACCACTGACCAGATTGATGCCTCGAATGTTCCAATCGCCTCGTAATACTAGAGAACGCGCCGAGCTCGGTTCGTGACTTGGTCTTTATGACTTGGCTGCAGTGGTGAGTTTTCGTTTTTTTCAAAAAAACAAGCATGGGTGTGAAATAGCAACACACGATATAACGAGGATTAGCACAGAAGTATACAATTACAAAACGTTCGAATCTAACCTCCCAGGCAGATTTGATCTGCTTTTGGATCTGCACCTGGATATACTTGTGGCGCCCATTCGATTCCATTATCTCCCCCTCACGGCTAGATGACAGACCTATCAGTGATGAGATGTCACTGCCCAGGCGCCCATAATTCATCTCAAAAGATGCTTCACTATGCTGAAATCAACCGTCACTCGCCGCGCTGTTCGGGATTCAAGTTCCCGTAATAGGATTCACAATACCATCTTTCTTTGATAAGGGCGCTTTAGGTGGCAGATGTAGGGACACAGTCACCCTCTATTCCTACATAGCCTCACAAGTCACGCCCATACCCATCATTTTAAGCACTGTCTTCTCGACCACCACCACAGCATGAGCCCCGAAGAAGAGGTACTATTCCAGATACTGGGCATATCGCTTTTGTCGAGTATCGGTGCAATAGCTGCCATCGCATTCCTTCACGGTGCGACATCCTTCGGTTCTCATCTGGTTCTCATCGTTGAATCATGGCTCATCGTGATGCTCACCCATAGGTTTCTTCACACTTCTTTTTGCCATCTTGATGTAAGTCATCCGATCTCGTGCGCTCGCGCAACACTTGATCAGCATTTGTAGACTTCGAAAGTCCACATGGAGCTCAGGACAGGCTCTTCTTGCAATGTCGATCATAAGTTTCCTGATTGCGACGGCTTATTGGGCGATCTACCTCGCATATCTTACCACAATGTTGCGGACGGCTCTTGTGGACAATATGGACATGCCTGTGGTCGAAAAGCGTGCCTTGGCGAATTTCAAGACTTATAAGATCAATATAGCAATGACATGGATTTCTCAACTTATGGTGGGCTTCTGTCTTCGCATTATCGTATGCGGTCAGTCTAACATCTTTCAAAGCCAATTATAAACGATATGGTCATCATCTGGCGAGGTCGAATTCTTTTCCCGGAGCAAAGGTGGACGGGATATGTCACACTCTTTCTTTGGACAGCCACAGTTGGTAAGCTGGTATCCTGCCGAAATGGCACCGGCTCGAGTTACTCAAGTTGTTCGCTGAAATCCGCGTCGCGTTTTCAATCAGCTGTTACATTCACTCAATTTGGCCTCGTTTCTAACTTCGCTGGCTTTAGGACTTTCGTCACCAGCGAGAGCAAGGTTACCACCAGTCTCTTTACCGCCAGCATCTCGCTATCACTGGTGACGAATGCTGTTACCACTGGATGCATTGCATATGGTGTATGGTAGGTCAACTTCGCTGAATATCATGCTAGCTATCCTTACGATTATCCTTATCTTCGGTAACCAAAAGGAAACATCGCAAATTGGTCGCCTCCCATTTGGATAAGAATGATCAAGGGTCTCGGGTTCAGAAAATTCTGAACATCCTTGTTGACTCAGGTGTCCTCTACTGTGGACTTCAGGTACCGCTTCTCTGCATCTTTGGGATGGTGGTTGAAACATCTGATTTCACAGTTCGTAACCCTGATCCTTAATGCATTTCCCCTCCGTAAACCATACACCACACTCAACTTCACGGCCATTGTTTTCTTCGGAATCTATACTGAGCTATCAGTGAGTTCCGCGCCAAGTATAATCAAGTATACAGACGACATATTTACGACATCGCCTTTCTAGGCCATGTATCCGACTCTCGTGATGTTTCTCGCCAAAGGCCAGCAGTCATTCATGGAGAGTCATGGAAGAGAAAGCGACGGCGGGCCACATCCAGCCAGCGGGCCTCAGATCGTCTTTGCCTCGAAGCCTATGGAAAGTCGGTCGAGCCATGAAACATGTGACAGTCTGCCAAACTGGACTCGTCGAAAAACAAATCCTAGTCATCGAAAGCTGCATCATGTAACTGTATAACACATCAATAATCTGACAACGACTCCTAGACTTGCGTCTCCAGTGCGTTTCTGTCTTTCGCATACCTCAGTTTTCGGTCATGTGGGACGGAAGACGGTGCTGGCAATCAATACGACTCTTAGCAAAGGTGCGTAGTTCTAGTGTCGATGTTTTCCTCGTCTCATGCTGTGTCTAGCCCCTTAGCATCAGAACAGAGCCAATCCGCTGAACAAATGGTGCATAAGCCGAAAGATGATCTCAGCAGTGATGCTCAACGAGCATCTATCATCCGTCTACTGCACTTCCGTTCTCTTATCAACTGTCTTCCACGCCAGTCGAAGTGCCACTGTGACATGCGTCGATGCAGACTTCGACTGGCGTGGACGAGCCACATCCCGTCTTTGCTTCACCACTTACTACCTCGCAGCGCCTGTCCTTCGCACTCAAATACTAGCACCATGAGCTAAAGAAACTACTCTGGCAATAACATACTCTATCCCTCCTGGAAAGTAGTGCGATTATCGACCATGTGCCAGGTTCCAGGAAGTATAACACTCGGATAGGCCATGCGTATGCCGCTCGTCCGATCGCCCTCGGCTCATCTTCTTCAGAGCCCTCCACAGGCGGGGGCTCAGGGCGAATGACCGTCTAAACGCCGAAAGAGGAAGCGCTCTGCCCTGTTCAAGAGAACCAACGCGCGTCCGGAGGCCAATGTTGTCGCATCCAGGCCTCCTTACATCTCGCGCACGATATAATGATTTTTTCTTCTCCGTTGCAGGATGCGATTGACTACAGCCTGTTGCTCGGCATATTTCCTTTTATATTGAAAGAACATGTTACGTACTGTAGGAGTTGGGAGTCGATGTAAGTATATGGAGATTAAATTAACTCTATCTATGATGGTTGTCGAGATATAAATGTGGGTGTCGGGGTAAGTAACATCCTGGGTGTTCCCTCCGCACAAGACTCGCAGCGCTCAGACATACTGCGAGAATAGGGGTATAAGCGACTGAGCGAGTGTATAGCTGAACACCAGCTTGGGTCCAACGACGATAATCTGCGGAAGGGAAATAAATTAACCGAATTGTTGAATGACATGTGGTGAAGGAACATACTTTGGGTGTCAAGCCCTTGAAGAAGGCCGCGGGGCCCTCGTGACGCAGGAGGTCCTTCACGACTGTGAATCCGCCGACCTTGGTCTCAAAGTTCGCGTTTTGGATACGCGTCTTGACCACGTCAAGTGGTGCCGCGACGGTGATGGACGCGACGGCACCTGCGATGGAGGCAATGAAGTTTTGCCCCCATGTCGCCTTGGAGTAGTCGGAGACGCCGAGGACGTACTCCTTCGTCACTGCCGAGGCTCCGAACAGCTGAAAGGGTCATGGTTCAGTACATTATTCGGTGGGCGGGTGATGAGGAGACGTACTGCAAAGGATCCAGGTGCGTTCCGCGCCATTGTCCATCCCCAGCCCCGGTATAGGGTAGTACCCTCCTCCATGAAGATTCGGATGAATCCACGACCGCGGAACGCTTCGGGGTTCACCTGACGCTTGATCTTGAGAGCATCTAGCGGTAGAAGAACCTTTTACACGAATGGTTAATAACGGCCGCGCACCCGAGCATCCGCCAAGTGGGTTGACTTACGACTTCGCCAATTCCCGTCAAGCTAAAATTAAAAACCACATCAGTCCAGGCCTGCAATTGCTCAAGAACAGTTTTAATACCTTCCAGCAGTCGCCTGCATCATCATCTTTCCCTTCCGCTCACCAAAGGTGTTGGTGAAGTTGGTCTTGTAATGCTTGTTGATCAAGTCATTGAACCACGGCTGGCCACCGAACTTGTACACGCGCTGCGCAACCTTGTAGCCTGCTGCGTAGCCCAAGCCAGGGAACAGCGAAAGGAACTTGCGAGATATCGTCGCAGAAGCCGCGTCGCGGAAGACAATCGGCGACAGTGTCTGGAATGACACCTATGACAAGTCGCGTGTGTGGGTAAGCGGTTAACGACACCAGTAGCAGCATGCGAGGCTCACCTTAGCCTTGTTGCTCATCAACCGTTTCGCAACCGTGTCCACAGGGTGAAAAATAAGGAGCTCAGCAACGCCTAGAAAGTTACTGTTGGTCAGTGCTATGTCAAACGTTGCCAGAGAATGTGGGACTGACCAGATGTTCCCGATCCGAGAATTCGGGCAGCGGCCGAGTCCTTTCCCTTGCTTGACGTTGGAGGAGACATGGTTGTTCAGTGGAGAGAGCAACGAAGGGGACGCCGAGGGGTTTTGTAGCTGGTGCTGTGAACAACGCGGTCTCAACACCAATGGCTCAAATTTTTAGTGCTTTTGCACAATAGGTGTAAATAACACCACGTGGATTTTCAGGCACAGCCAAGAACATGGTCATTCAGATTGTGACAATGACATCGTCGCGTCGCGTCTCA